AACCACGCGCAAGGAGGGGAATGTTATTTGAAGAACACAAATAACATCGATGGTTGGCCCTCCTGCTTATTTTGAAACAAGACTGTGGGTGTAGCTTGTTGCAGCGTGGGTAACATTCATGATTTCAAAGCAGAAGGATCTTGGAAGGGAGGGTGTGGCCCATAGACAAGCTGAATATGTGTCCTTGAGTGTGTTCAAGATGAAATTGCAAAAAAAGAAACACCTTTGTATGTTTGTATGAAGATAATATTCAGTGCATATTTGTATATCATATTTATACCCACATGAATTGCACAGACTATGTTGCTGTCCTATTTTAAGGACAGTGACTGGTTCCTTTGGTATGTATACTACTACATAAACCTATTTAATTGTTCATAAAGGCAATCTCTCATCTGTACAAGGAATGAGTTAGTCAGAAATGCACCTGCTGTGGAGAAACAGTCGCATGTGATATAAAACACAGGACCAGGAAGGTTTGCTTTCACCAAATGGCTTTCTGCATGGCATCTCAAAAGTAGCGACCAAAACAGAAGTAACTGAAGGGAGAAAAATAGGTTTGAGTACTGTATAGAGGAGCCTCGTGGAAACACAAAGTGCAGATAAGATTAGGAGAGTCGTGGGGGGACATGGCTTTGTGAAAATCAAAGGTATTTGGTAGGAAAAGGGGTACAGTACTTGCCTTTTACAAGTCTGTGTAATCCTCACCCTATGCTTAATCTCTTCCTCTCTCTTTCCAGACTGGCCAGGTCAAGCTACGAGATGAGGCCACAGCAGCCGCCAGTTGCTAGCAAGGTGTTTATCCAACGAGATTACAGCAGTGGCACCAGATGCCAGTTCCAGACCAAGTTCCCTCCAGAGCTGGAGAATCGGGTAAGTCCAGATGGTTTTGCTGCGTTGCCTTATCAGTCAGACACAAGGAACGGAGAGCTAAGCCACAAGTGATAGACCGGCGCAATGTTCAGCGTTGCTTCCTAATGCTTAAATAAGGGGGATAGTGTTCTGATATGTGCAGGTTTGCATTCTGCCAGTTCTGGTCCAAAAACACAATCTCTGCGCATTTTTAGTTCTAATCTTTTTAAATAACGTGTCCCTGGAAGAAGGTCCATTGGGAGAAGGGGCATGCCTTCTTCTCTATGTAAAGACATCAAGCACTTCCCCAGAAGCTGCTTTGATGTAACTAAGGTGGGTGGGAGTTGCAATCCAATAGGAAATGGAGAGCCATGTTATAGATTTTTGCTTATTCATGCTATGTTGGATACTTAGTTGCTGCTCCAGACTTTGGAACTCCCTCCCACTGGAGGCCAGGATGATACAATGTTTGCTATCCTTCCATAAGCAGGCAAAGATCTTTAACCTCAGTGACTGCCTGCCTGAGTGGGGTATTTTAATGGATGACGATGCGTTAGTGCTTACAGTGTGTTTTGATGATGCTTATGTTTTTTTGTATGGTATTTGTTTGATCCTTTTAATATTTGTGTACTCACTGTTTTTAGCTATAATGTTGTCTTTTAATAATGTAAACTGCCTTAAGTCCTTTTAAGGGGAAAGATGGGTGGGAACAAACAAATAGACCCGAGGAGATTGGCACTGATAGTTTGTTTCCTAAAAGGTGCTAGTGGCTTCCATGCTTGTCTCTCAGCCCAAATCACTAAAACTTAATTAGAGCACATTAAACTTTATCCCTGAATCAAGAGGTTCACTATTGAAGCCTACTGATTTTGCAGTTTTACAGAGTCTTGTTTTTAAATAAAGCGCACGTTCAAGTTCTCCTGGACCCCTTTCCCTGCTGTGAAATCAGGGCAGTCTTTATTTTTCCTTTGTGCATTTCTACTGCAAGTGTTTGTGCATGAGACAAGCCTAAAAGAATAGCTGTGAATAGCTGAGGTCCTTAAGGAGAGATCAAGGAAAGTGGTGGTGGTGATACTGAGAAAGGGGAGTATTAAGGAAGCTCTTGATTGGGGACTGACTTATGTGAAATTGTTTGGAGAACTTAGGAAGGGAAAGGATCCTTGGAAATTGAGGGCTATGTTGAAGATCAAGCTCCTGGCCACCAGTATAAGAATGCATACGCGTAGCTCATGTTAGTCTTAATTTAAGATAACCAACCGCAAAGATGGCCTAGATGTCTTGACTTCATTTGTCCACCTGTTCACCAACTGAGTTTTTGAGGGAAGAGGTGCGTTTTATTTAGATCTGGAAGTCAGATATTCATAGACCACCTCAGGTTTTAACAGTGCATAAATGAAAGGGCCAATTAGAAGGCAGTCCTTCGAAAAGGGGACTGCTGATGTAATAGCAAAATCAAATGATCCCGTGCCAAACGGAAAGCTGATAGCAAGTGGCAAAAAATGCAGTTGACTCGTGCCAGTCTTTCCTTAGGTAAAGTTGTAAGATTATAGTACAAAAGTAAACCTGTGCTGCCCAGTGGGAGCAGAGACCTGAGTTATCATCATAAGCTATCTCTTCCTGTTTGCAGCTTTGCTGGACTAGTAGATCCTGCTTGAACTAGTAGATCATGCGCAGGCAGTTCTAAACAGCTGAACCTCTGAGCATGGGCGTGTTTTAATAGCAAGGTGTGATTAAGGCCAGAGCAAAGTTTCCCGCCTATCAAAAGCCTTGCTTTTAGGCATCACGAGATTCTAGGCGTCAGACGGGACTCTGGGTGTATTCCAAAGGCTTGGAGTGCTGGTTCAGAATTTGTATTAGGATTGGGTTCTGAATTGATATTAATTGGTAGGGATCTAATCAATACTGCAAATGTTTTTGGCATTACCAACCCTAACAGTATTCAGTATATGAAGTGCTATGAGCAACAGCTGGCAGCAACGACACCAAGCCAAAAGGGCCCTCTGAGACAGTCTACAAGAGGGCAAGGGTGGGAAGGGGGTTGTAGGTTATCCGGAACTGGTTGAACTGCAGCACTCCGCAGCCCTGGACAGTGGTGGGAGACAGCAAGGGCGGGGGAGGTAACACAGACCACTTCTGCATTAAGAGAATGGAGCTCAACAAATGAGAAATTCCCCCCCCCCAAAAAAAAAATTCTAACCTGATACTTGTAAGTCATAAGCTAAGACATGCTTTTGATTCACGTTGGGAAGGTAAATTAGCTTGTGCGCCCTAGAATATGCCCCAAGGTTCTCTCCGTGCATTTGCAGTTGTTTATCGTATTGGGGGGGGGGAACACTTCTGCCATGTGCTGTTGAATACTATGCACAAAGGTATAGAAGTGTCATGAAAACTATCCTTCTCTCTTGAATTGCACAGGTCCGAACAACATGGTTTCAGTTAGAGGTGGATTTTTTCCTCCCTCCTCAGGGGGCAGAGGAGAAGGAGAGATCATGCCCTTGTTTTCTCCCTCTGACAGAGGCTTGTTCTGTCCTTTAGCTGCCTTTAAAAAGGCTCAGTGCCTTTTTACAGGCAGCCAGAATATTATTATTATACTCTTACATAATCTGTGTAATCTCTTGTTATACAGTATAACGTTTTTGGGGCCATAAGAGTTATACATGAATTTTCAACGGCAAGGGGGCCCGGTAACCCCTAACCCCAGGTTTGTTGAACTGAGACATGGATAGAGATTATTTCACATTTAGAACAAATGGTCAGGACACTAAGCAGCAGTTCAACGTGAAACTGTGAGTAGACTGCACAGTTATACTCATGACCACGATGCTTTGCTAGCCCCATATATAAGCACTAGCCTGGTAGCCACTAGTGGCGATGAGTTTTTTACTGCAGGCCAGTGGAAGGGAGATGGAACACCTATCTCACGTTTGCACCCATTGTAGACACCAGACAGACTTTCTGTAGGAGGGACCCTCCCCTTGTCTCTACACAGCCCAGACTGAAGTCTAGCGGGTGGTTGGAGAGGAACAGGGTTCTTTCTCCTTCTGCTACCAATCCCAAAAGTGAATTCTACTGAATTTTTGTGGCCCCGTTTATGAGGCTCGTATGGGTGATTCTGTGCCCAATCTCTTTATCCCTTTCTCCGTGCCCTCAACTTCATATTATTCCCTTTTTGAGAAGAACCGAAGGATATGCTGAAGGAGCCAAGGACTTGTCAGTAGGCACCTAATAAGCTTAGCTGGAATAAGGGTAGGAGGAGGTCGTTCTGATCCTTTCCCTTGTCCCTTGAATGCTGCTTTTCCTCCAAGAAGTGCTGGGCAGAGTTTTTAACTTCGCAGGGCTCCTTAGTAGAAGGTCATACTGTGGAACTGTTTCACCCACATCCCCCCCAACCCTGGTGATGTTCTTAGTCAGGTGACTCAGTACTGTGAACATTTGCTCGGAGGTAAGTTTTTCCTGAGTTAACATGGGGATGTACTGGCAAACAACCAGGTCGTGGGTTGTAGCCTGTAGCTTCTAAGCATTGCGTGACACTTCCTCAGAAACACGGAGGGGAACAGGTTCTTTCATCCAGCCATGGTGACATCATCTGTAATGTCTGTGAACAAAATGAGCCCATTATTCTTGTACGATGAAGTCATTTGTCCCCGTTTATGAGGGCCAGGCTTCTGTGTGCTGTTTGGATATTGTGCTTCTTCTTTTGTATCTTTGTTCTGTGGTGTCCCTTAAGTTGTTGGTTAGCAAGCGCAAGCCAAATGGCAACAAGATGCTTCTTCCTTTTGCTCAGGGCAAGAAGAGGTGCTGCACATAGTGCCTTGGGGACACTGTTTCCCCACTGGAGCATTTGATAAGGATCTTGCTCTAATCATTGCACTTTACAGAATGGTTTGGATGCAAAAACAGCATCCTCATTTGGAGCGTTGATAGCTATCCCACTACCTCTAGCAGGAGAGGGAGCAGGAGGAGAGAAGCGTGCTCGCAGCTGATAACTTGGATTTTGCTTTCTTTTTTTATATATATATACCATGTCCTATTCTCCCTGTAGCTGCATGTTTTAAGGTCTTCAATTTTTGTCTGTGTCTAAGCTCTTCTTCACACTGCTCATTCAGCTCTAGAAACAGGAATTTAGACCGTTAACCTCACCAAGATGATGTCAAGCTACAGTCCTATGGAAACATATCTGGAATATAAATTACATTGAACTCAGTGTGGCTTACTCCTTAGTAAATATGTAGGGGGTGGCCTGTAAGTGGCAGAGGCCACCAGGAAATCATGTATAGGAAATAAGGCTCATGAGCCAGTCTAAGCGCATTTGACTCTAAACGTGGTTCTTTTTCCAGCTCGACAGGCAGCAGTTTGAAGAAACGGTGCGAACCCTTAACAACCTTTATGCTGAAGCAGAAAAACTTGGGAGCCAGTCTTATCTTGAAGGTTGCTTAGCCTGTTTGACTGCCTACACTATCTTCCTATGCATGGAGACACACTACGAGAAAGTAAGTTGAGTTCTTTTGGGTTTTGGAAAAGGAACAAGAGTCTATATAGCAAAACTGGAGTTGTTGGTAGTGGGAATAAACTGCCCAAGAATGGCCAAGTTGATGTCATGTGTCAGGAATAGGAAGTGCTACATTGACAGCTTGCTGTTGTGATGAATAAGGCTTTGGGGTGCCTAAATTCAGTGATGCATAATGGTGGGTCTTCTTCGTGCGAAATCATATTCCATTTGACTTTCCTGTTGCCAGGCGATTCATCACCACTGCTAGCTGGTTTTCTGGTCTTTGCTGAATTTTCAGAATAACTTTCACAGTAGGATGAATGGAATTTATCCATCTACTGCCTTCCTGCCATTATAGGTTATCTGTCTGTCTGCTGGCTGGATGGTTCATTTCAGGAATAAAAAGGATAATGGCTCTCATAAGCCAGTGTAACATGCCTCTCTAGGTCTTCCGGGTAGAGCCAGTTCCATTCCACTGTGTTTGTCGTCTTGATTTTATACAGTCTGGGTTCGGTGCCAGCCCCTTGCTACTTTGAGAACATGCTCAATAGGGTGCTTTCATAGTGCTCTGGTCTTGAAAGGCACTCCTGAAAGAATGCTTAAACCCAACCAAATAGAGAACCAAGTTGGCTTTCAAAGTCTCCTGTTCCTGACCTGGAAGAGAAATAAATGGCTTCCAGAGACTGCAATTTGTATTTCATCGCTTTTTTTGTCCTGTTAGTGAATAGAACTTTTCAGCCATTACAGAACAGAGTGATAAATCTTGTGGGCAGCCAGTGATTGTCTGCCTGCTCTTTCCCTGTGCTGCTTTTACTGAACATCCTTTCACATTTTCCACTGGTTGCTGGAAGAAAACATTCATTGAAGCAGTTGACTTATTTCATAGAACAAACTCTTTAGCTGGATCAAATTATATGACATATTGCTGTGTTTAATATTGCTGTGAGTTAATGCTTCCTTTGCCCCTCATTCCTCAAGTTTTGGCTCTTCCAATTTCTTAGAATACCAATTTACTGATAGGATGGAGTGCCAGATGTTTGTACAGAACAACAGGTCACTAAAGCTCTAGAACCAGCATAGTCCCATAGAAATGTATAAAAATGTCCAGTAGTATCTGTGCAGTGCTGTTAACATTGATAGTATTTGAGAGTTTCATGAGCAAAAGGGGCAGATGTTTGCCAAAAAAATTAGCAGTCAGAACTCCAACAGGTAGGGGAAGATGCTCAAGGCAAGGCATTGACTTGACTAAAACTTTAAAGGCAGGAGATATTCAGCCTTAGCAGTTTTTTTTTCCAGTTTCAAAATGGAAGAAAACAATACAACCATGAGAAAGCACCAAAGCACTTAAATCTTGAAAGTGCTATAAAATTCAAACGATACTGAGTCATCACTGGAATGGATGCAAATGCTATAGAAGTGCCCTGTCTTTTTTTTCTCTCCAGGTTCTGAAGAAAATTGCCAAGTATATCCAGGAGCAGAATGAGAAGATCTATGCCCCGCAGGGTCTCCTGCTCACTGACCCCATTGAGAGGGGACTGAGAGTTGTATCCTTTTCTGTGGCTGCCCAGCCTTTTGTGTTCCAGCTGTATGAGATGCGACAAATTATATGCTCCTGCCTTGGTGAAGACAGTGTTTTATCAGTAAAGCAACTGATTTATGTTGGGGAACATTATGTTCTTCCAGGGTTTTTGCATGAAGATCATTTTAACGTCTGTGGTGTGCCACAGTCTCTAGAATGTCTCTGTGGTGCAGGGGAAGCCAACCTGGCCAGTAAGACAAGTTTTTTGAATTGATATTGTGGGGATACCATTATATGGTCAGCTAAAAAGAGACAGAATTTGCAAACTAAAGACTAGAGATGGGCATGAACCAGTGGTTCGTGATGATGTATTTTTTTTTTGTGAAACTGGTGTTTCAGCACTTCCCGGCACCACATCCTCTAGTGGGCGCTCACTCAGAAGTAGCATTCCATCTTTCTTGCCCTGCCTCCTCCAGGTGCTGCCTCTGAATGGGCACCTGTCAGAGGAGGCAGGGCTGGGAAGCACCAAACACCTCTTCGGCAAAAAAAAAATGAACCGGAACGAACCACCAGTTTGGCGATTCGTGCCCATCTCTCCTGAAGACCATGGCTGCTTTTATTGAATTAATAATCATAAGGCAGGCCTCATAAGGGACTCCACCCCCCTAATGATATGCTGCTCTCAGCTTCCCTGACACAATCAAACCCCTTTGCCCTTTTAATGTATTGATTCAGTAATGGGTACAGTAATTGTAAGCTGTCTAAGGATGCAGCAGAAGAGAAGTGGCAGACATTCCAGCAGGACTGTTCCAAGGGGTGGAAACCGCTTTTGGTTTTAAAGAGGATAATATGCTCTCGAAGTCATATCTGCAAAAAAGAGGGATTACAGTCCATTGAAGCTCAGACCGAATAAAACTTTGTAGTCTTTAAGATGCCACAAGATGTCATTGTTTTTGCTGAAACTCATTAAAAGTATAATGTCTTAGCTGAATTTTAGAAAGCAAGAATTGTCACTGTAATGTGAATATATGAGGTATAAGACCAATTACTCTGCTACCTTGCTTATTTTACTCTTCTGCAGCATATTTCCTTAACAATCTCGCTGTGCAGATTGAAATTACCATTTATGAAGACAGAAATGTCAGTAGTGGAAGATAAACGCCTGATCTTCAAAGTAAATATTAACAGTAGAAGGTTGTTGTATTACCTGTTTTTTCAATTCCAAAGAAACACCACAAATAATCTTTTGTTCCCTGCTACCTAATCAGCTGTTTAGTTTATCATCATAGGCAGCCATAATCTTTTCTCAGCAGACTGATGGGGAAAGCACAGTTTGGAAATTAAATCCAGAATTTAAATTTTAAATTTAAAGACACCTGCACTTTAAAGAGTGATATCATATGTCTTTTTCTGGCCAACAAAAAGGAAAGTAGTATTGATTCCCATAAAATAGCAACTGAAACATTTATATCCACTCATCTTGTAATGTAAAATCTAGCTCATGTGTGCAACTAATGTTATTCAGAAACGTAAGTGTGCAACAGACGCCTCACCAAAGAGCAGAACCATCGGTTTAACATTACAGAAATTCCCAGTGGGACACTCCAGCTGTGGAGCCATTTTTCTTTTAGTTAAGATAAATTTAGTCCTCCTTAAATATTTGACTAACAAACAAAATATGCATGAACTCAAATACATTATTTTATCCTCTAGCTCAGTGCTTCCCAACCTTGGGTTCCCAGGTATTCTTGAATTAAAAGTCCCAGAAGCCTTCACCCACTAGCTGTGCTGACCAGGATTTCTGGGAGTTGTAGTCCAAGAACAGCTGGAGACCCAAGGTTGGGAACCACTGGTCTAGCTCAGGGCCAATCAGTGTAATTACTGATTTCAGTGCTGAGATCTCGATGCAACAGCTCTGATCTGCTTTAGCTAGTAATTTTGATTGGTGTCATTTCAGCAGCGGGAGAAGGATTGGTCTGTAGCGTTACAGAGGTTGGCATCCGTTTCTTGGAGGAAAAGGGGGTCTTTCAGTCACTCGCTGATTAAATTCCTGGTGACATTGTTTCCAAAATCTTCAAACAATAAATGCCACTTTCTCCCTCCTTTCACTCTAAGGCAGGGGTCTCAAACATGCGGCCCGGGGGCCATTTGCGCCCCCCCAGATGATAATTTGTGGCCCTCGCCTTGCCTGCCCCCCCAAAGCGCCCACACATCCTCTGCTGTCAAGAGTAAAAAAAAAGCCTTGCCTCGCTCACCGGCTGTCTCCCAAGACAGCACCTCTTGCACCCTCCATCCAGAACTGCAGCCTGCCAGCCAGCCCACCTGTCTAACTCCTGGGCGGCTTCCTCAGGCTCTTGTTCCGCTTGGCAGAAAATCTGATGCGGCCCAGCCTCACCCAGACTCTGCCTCTAGCGGCCCCCAGGTAAATTGAATTTGAAACCCCTGCTCTAAGGTCTTCCCAGCTCTGAGAGTGGAATGAATTTGTTCTAAAAGTATGTCTACCTCCAGATACCTTGAGTTTGTTCTAAAAGTATGTTGGTCAACCCATCTCTCTTTGTTTCCTAGGGTCCAACTTGGTTTTTTTGTTGTTTTTGTTCCAGACAATTCCCCGACTTCCTCCACCATCACATCATTCCATTCTGCTGCCACCAACTTCGCAGTGCCATCTGCCACAAGGACTAACTTGTCAACATCCCGTTCCTTCATTTGGGGTGGGTGGGGGGAATCCCTATGTGCTGACCAGCATTCATTTTGTCTTGTCATGGTAAGCCTTAAGCAGTGGGGTTGTCCAGGTAGCTGGCTTCTGAGAAGACGCTGAAGGAGATCTGGACAGTGGGCACACGACCAAGCAGGAGTTACTCTGGTACAGTATGGCTTCTGCTGGGAGTGCTGAGTTTTGGCATTTGCGGAAAGAAAGCACCAGTGGGACATGGATGGCTGAATTTCCAAAACTCAAGCCAAAGCACAAGGAGTGGGATGTTGATGTTTCTCATTCTGTCAAGAAGAATCGTGAAGCAAAGATCATCTTGAATCGGAAGACTTCCTAGCAATGTTGAAGGGCTTCTGCTGTTTAGTCTCAAGGGCCAAGGAGAATCTTTGGGGGACAGAGTCTGCTGTTCTCACTGCATCTTTCCTGGGCTGAGCTGATAAACTGCTTGTTTAGCTGAGAAAAGCAGCAGCCAAAATGTATGCTGTACTAGTAATTATTAACTACTCCCTGCTCTCCACCCCTCTTAAATGTTAATTATGTGACGTAAGTAATAAATGGCTTTCTCCAATTCGTTAGAAGTTTTAAGCTTTAGACAAGCAAAGTAATTTGACTAGAAATGGTGTTTTGATGGTGCTTCATCTCTGTCCTCTCACCAAGTGCATCTCCGCCATCTGTAGTAGTTCTACTTGTGTTCAACATTCCTCCAGCAGAGCTTTCAGACATATATGGAACATCTCGTCTTCTGAGTCAGTGACTTCGACTGAATCCAAGGTTTCCTGTTCAGTTTCCCCTTTAATCGAAGTGGACCTTTTGTGTGTGTTCAAGCACGAGCAGAAGCTGGCAGCATTTTGTCAGCCACGTGGGCATCGTCATCTCTTCCTCATGCCCAAGAATTAAGGAGGCTGCCAAACAAGACCACTTACAAAATGGATTGAATTTGTGACTTTTTAGAGCAATCCATGAACCGTCAGTAGTCGTGGGTCGAGGTTTCCGAGTGGATTATTTTTCAATTCCCGCACCTCCCTGAGTTCTTTAAAAAAAATAACACCCTCCCCTGGAATCTGTTTAATATTTTAAGTGTATAAACACCTTTTTTTCTAACCTGTAACAATGTTTTGTCTCTTGCACCCTTTACAATCAGTTTTCAGAAATATGGATGGGTTAGTAACTTTTTCTTAAAATAAATGGTTCGTCATTTGTTAGCACTGACCTGAAATGCAGCCTTTTTTGTTCCGTGAAAGTGAAACTGATCGGGTGTGTGTGTGGGGGGGGTAATAACAATAATTGCAACCTTGTCAGGATTTCCTAGATACAGTAATCTTAGAACTGCAGAGCTGGAAGGGACACTGTGGATTGAGTCCAGCCCATCAAGGAGACCCAGTGGGGAGTTAAACTTGTAAAAAATACACTTAGAAACTACCGTGGAGGGAAAGTGACTGCAAATCTACAGTATTTCTCTATTAATGATGAGACTGAATTTTTTTTATAGAGCATATTTTCCCCTTCTGTATCACATCTATTTGATTCCAATGAGATCTGTATTTGAAAAAACAATCTCTGGATTGCAACAGGAACATCGTTGTTACTCTTGGTCCGCTGTTGGTTTTGATTTATTGATTCTAGCTGTACAGAATCTTGTCCCAGGTGAAGTTTGCATCCTAGTCTTTGTGAGTGTGGGGGGCAGCTTTACAGTGGCGATTGAAGAAGTGGAAAGGCAGGCAGGGTAGAAGTAATAACCCAAGGCTGGAAAGCCTGGCTCTAAAGCCAGGGTGGCGTATTATATCAGGACCAGCAGTCATGGATTTGACTTCCATTAATTTAGGATAGTCAGTCTACAAGCTGTTTTAAGCGGATGCCCATTATTACCAGCTGATCTAGAAACTGGAGCCTAGAATAAGATTATTTTCCAGGGCTGCCCATCTGCAAGTTTGTAATTCCGGAGTTATGCCAAACATAATTCCATACAGAGCACGATACCATAGTGTCTCGAGACTGAAGGATGCCTATGATGCCAAACAATATTTGCAGGTGTGGGCAACCTTTGAAAACTATTGCAAGGTCGCCTCCTCCCCTTTACTGTCAGCAGAGTTTATGGGACACGAGTCTTGGTCTCTCCGATCCCAAGCGTTGAGATCCACTCTTTACCCAGATCTCGACGTGGGAGGGGCAAATTTTTTATTTGTTTGTTTGTTTTGCGAAACTGTTGCCAGAATCCCAAGGCAGGCTTTTCCCGAGCTCTGCTTTTAGGCTCGCAAAAAAACGTCGCCATCCAGATGTGTTCGGACGATTCTTCCTGCACGCACCGATCTGCCTCCCTCCACGTGTCAGCCAAGTCGAGACGCGGCCCCTTTAAACAGTTCGGGGAGGAGCCGGGAGGCCGTCCTCATGTGTATTTATGAGGGGGCGTGGCTCGAACGTTGGGATTTCGCGCGCTTCGCGGTTCCGTGACGTCACTGCTCGGGTTGGAAGCGGTGGCGGGAAATCCCGGAGGAACTTGGGCGGCCATGGCGGAGGAGGGGGACCGGGGCTTGGAGGCGAGCAGCCAGGAGGAAGAGGAGGAGGAGGAGGTGGTGCTGACCCCGGCCCAGCTCATCCGCAGCCTGGAGCAGGTGAGATCCGGCCCAACGCCTCGGCCGTTCCCAAAGCTTGGAAACCTTCCTTTCCCGGACTACAACTCCCATCTAGCGAGGCAGTTTGCAAAAGTAACGTTTCCAAGCTCTGGTCGTTCCTGGAGTGGACAGGCAGTACAGTTTGGAAAAGTGACTGTTGTGGTTTGCAATTCTCGCAAGATCGCCGGCGGCCCTGCTAATTTGGGGCTGCAGTTCCCGAGAAAGGTAACTTTTTTTTTGAGACTACAAACCCCAGAATCCGTGGATCAAGCTGTTGGACACTTGGCGGGTTCTTCAGCAGAAGCGCTACCCACTGAAGCGGACAGGAACCCAGAAAATGTTCATTCCAAATGAAACTTTATCGTGGTGGAAGTATTTTTCGGTTGTTTGCTGTGATTCCAAATTAATTCGGAGGCTGACTTTTAAAGGTACTCCTCCAACTCTGCCATTCGAGGCTGTGTGTGTATACAGTACTTGTCCCCTGTATTGTCCTGAAATATTAATACTTTTTCCTATTAATTAGTCAGGGCTGCCAAAAAAGAGGATGATCTGGGCTGCAGTCTTTATTAGGCCCACCTTCCAAAAAGGAATCCATTTTTGTGGAAGGCAGCTGGAGGTTCCTGTCAAGATCGGAGCTAACCCCTCCAAAGCAAAAGAGGTTTTCATCCTGGCCCATGTTTATTCAAACCCTACAGTGAGACCCTCCCTCAATGCCAACCCACGTGGCTTTCGTCCTTCCCCCGTGGTCCTCACAACAACCCTACAAGGTTGACCAAGAGAGCGAGGGCGACTGGCCCAAACTTAACTCTTGGGTCTAATGGACTTGAACAGGACTTAAACTCCACACTTTTAGCTACTGGTTCCCCCCCCCCAAAAAAGGGGGAGAGATGCCTCCAAGGGGACCATAAAAAAATCAATGCAGAGTACAAGACAGACACAGCAACATCTTTCACATTAAATTTATCTTGCTTATGCTGTTTCTTAAGGTACCAACTTTTTGTTCTACCATAAAAAACCCTGTCCAATGCTGTTTCAAACTTTCTTACCAAATTTAGTTTCTTTTGTTGTTGTTTTTCCTCCCTTGAATACTGCAAACTGATTTATTTTTAAAAAATGGGCTAGTTGAATGATGGCAAAAGAGGGACGGAGGTATGAGGGTTCTCAAGAAAGTGTGATCTGATGCCAAAAACACAGCACGGTTGACACTGGAGGCCATAGAGACAGAAGCTTCCTGGACTGGCGATCCAATCTTACAGGTTATTTGAATTGGAATCATGCTAGGAAAAGAGGGAGGCCGAACGCGGGATGGATGGACGTGCTAAAGGAAGCCACAGGCTTGAGTTTGCAAGAGCTTGACTGAGCAGGTCAATTGAGGACAACATTTTGGAGATGGCTCATTCACGGGGACATCATAAGTCGGGAGCAACTTGATGGCATATAACAGCAATGTATAGGAAAGGTATCTTATGGCACCCTCTGAAACCAGAAGACCCAGGTAGGGGGATAAGGATCAGAGATGTGGAACCACCAGAGTTCTGCTCTAGACAGCAGGCTCGAAAGGAGCAGCTAAGGCACGGCTACTCCCAACTGAAGGGACTGCCCGGTTGCCTAATGGTAGAGCCAACTCTGGGTAGCCCTGGGTCGGTTCGATGGCCAGGAAAAGGGCTTAGGAGTCGGTGAATGATGATACACATGGTCTGTTTTTTTTTTTCCTCCAGGCTTGGATGAATGAGAAGTTTTCCCCAGAGCTGCTGGAGAGCAAATCGGAGGTCACCGAGTGCGTCATGGAGCAGCTGGAACACATGGTAACAAAGGGGGGGAGGCGGGATCGGGACCTGGGTGAGGCAGGATCTCTGGGTAAGGTGCATTCCTTACACACACACCCCAACCCCACGGCTCTATTTGGAATAGCCATACTCAAATGAACCTGAATTTGGCTGGATAGCTCAGTGGTTTAAGTCTTGGGCTGCAGAGCCAGAGGTTGGGAGTTCAATTCCCCACTTGTGCCTCCTGGGAAAAGAGCCAGCCTGGGTAGCCTTGGGCAAGCTGCGCACAGTCCCAGGGCTCCCCCTAGAGGAAAGGACGGGTAAATCACTTCCGAGTCTTCTCTCCCTGGAAAACCCTGAAAAGGATTGCCATAAATCAGAAATGACTTGATTGCACATGATGATGATTATGTCTAACTTGAGGAGGAGGCACTGCATCATTTATCCATAACTCCCCAAAGATTGGGTCCCCCTTTGGCGTGATCAAGAAGCAGATCTGCAGGAAGGGGTCCTTACACGTGAAGCAGCCTTCGTTTTAAATGAGTGCTATCTGTGGCTGGAGAAAAAAATTAGCCCACACTTCCTGGAGGTCCCCAGGTACTAGTTTTCTCCATTCCTCCACAAGAGCAAAGCCTTCCTGCTTCGCGCTGTACAGAGAGGTAGGTCCGATGGCCGGATCGGTCCTTTTCAAATTGCGGCGACTTTTGTCTTTCCAGGAGGAGAATCTCAAACGAGCAAAGAAAGGAGACCTGAAAGTCAGCATCCACCGCATGGAGGTGGAGAGGATCCGTTACGTCCTCAGCAGCTACTTGCGCTGCCGGATCCAGAAGGTGATGGCTTGCGGGCTTCTATTTCAGAAAGTTAGCAATAGTGTCCCTCTGTGTGGGTGTCACTGAGCACATGCTTTCTTGGTGCTGTGGAACTCCCTCTCACTGGAGGCCCGGCTGGCCCCATCCCTGCAGTCCTTCCACAAGCAAGCCAAGACCTTTCTCTTTGGGCTGGCTTTTCCTTAATGACTGGCTGCCTGAATGTGGGTTTTTAAATGAATGCTTGTAGTTTACTGCTTTGCATGTGTTTTTGTTATTGCTTTGGTTTACCATTTTAGTGTGGGATTTGATTCCTTTTTTAATGTTTGTATACTTCCTGGTATTAGGTTTTAAATATTGTCTCTGGATGTTGTAAGCTTCCTTCAGTCCTTTTAAAGGAGAAAGGCTCCGTAAAATTATTTTAAATACGTAAATAAATAGGTGTCTAAAATCTGTTTTTAATTTCATGCCATTTGGGTGCTGCTCTCAGTCTTCGTTCAGTGATCAAGTCTCATTGTTACTTAATATTTCTGGTTGTTTCCTCTACTGAAAACAATTAGTGGCAGTAATTATAATAACAGTTTACGATAAGAGTAGTACCATCAAACAAAGAAACAAACAAAAATATTGGCTTATTTTCCCTGTGCACCCAGCTCATAAATAAATGTGTTTTGATGTGGCAACTAAGAATGGTTTAAAAGAGAGAATTGGACCCAGTGCAGAGGTGCAGGTGGACAAAGACTGGTTTATATTTGGGGTTTGGATTTTGGAAATGTTGTGCCCTGCTTTCAAAACGAGGTTGGGCCTCTACATGGTCCAGCTGAGCTTCTGTGGACATCATGCTTGCCAGTAAGGTCAGCTGATCGTGGCCTGGAATGGTTCGTTACAATTTATTTTTCAGTTAATTAGCTACTTTAAGGTCCCACGTTTCATCCAGTGAGCTGAAGGTGGAACTGTGTGAGGCCAGCTACTTTAAGGTCCCACGTTTCATCCAGGTGGAACTGTGTGAGGCTGGGCAGGTTGAGAGGGAGTGACTGGCCTTAGGTTACCTGGTGAGTTTCATGGCTGAGTGAGGATTGCATTCTGGATTTGCTAAGCCCTGTTCTAACCACTGTACCTCACTGCTTCTCAGCCACAGGCTTATAGCCTTTCCCTGTTTTGTCTTGTTCTTGAACACGGCAATCTCGGTAGCTGTTGCAGACTGCACCGTGTGTTTATCTTAATGGCATTTATTTCCTCCTGAAGATTGAAAAGTATTTTCCCCACATCTTGGAGAAGGAGAAGACTCGGGCCGAGGGGGAGCCATCCATCCTGTCTCCAGAAGAGTTCGCCTTTGCAAAAGAGTGAGTGGAAAAGGAGAGGGTGCTTTTTGTCCTCACTAACTAACTAACTAACTAACTAACTAACTAACTAACTAACTAACTAACTAACTAACTAACTAACTAACTAACTAAACTAGATGGATGGATGGATGGACGGACGGACGGATGGATGGACAGGTGGATGGATGGATGGATGGATAGACAGACGGATGGATTTTAAGACATGTGGTCTTCTATTTGGACTATACCTCCCATGATCTCCCACCCTTGGCTCTGCTGGCTGATTGGAGATGGAGTTCGGCCATATCTGATGGGCCTGCAGTTGCTCACATGTGAACCAGGTGTCTGTCTTTTTAAAAAGAACAGTGATCGTTGTTTTTTTGTTGGGATGTGACTTTTCTGCACACTTTATGCTCAGGTTTTTTGACCGTGAAGCAACCACTCACCCCCTGGGGTATTCCAAGCAGTTTCTTTATAAAGATTCTTCCTGCCTTGCAGGTACATGGCCAACACAGAGACCCACCTCAAAAACGTGGCGTTGAAGCACATGCCTCCTAACTTGCAGAAAGTGGACCTCCTGAAGGCTGGTAAGCAGTTCTGCATGCCGGGGCAGAGGCCTTGCGGGTCTCTGCCCCAAGGAGCTTACAGTCTCAAAGCAGTCATATGGCCCGGATCTTCATTTTCCTCCCATGAGCAAAATCAGAATTTGTGTTGGCAAAATGGGACAGCACATGGCTGTTGGCAGGATGATACGCATTTTAGCCAGATATTCTTGAGGAATCCAGCTTGAGATAGGCTAACTTTTTGACTGAATTAAAGCGCTTTGAAAACTTGCTTATTTCTGTAGGGATATTAAGAATGTGCTAACCTCAGAAAGCATCCACTTTGCCTGGATTTTGATAGCCACCACCTCCATTTGCGACCTTTTGGACATTATAAGGCTCTTGGTTCAGTTTATTGATCAGTTCAAATCTTGTTTGTTTTAATCAGCTAAACTGTTTCTAATTTTAAGAGGCTTGGTGTTGTGTTTTTAAAGAAAGTGATTAATACATGTTATTTTAAAACAAATGGAAAAAGCACCCTCTTAGCAGATAAATCACCCTCTTCTGCCCCTTCATATACGCAAGAATGCGCAACAGGTATTTGTGTGTCACTTTTATTCTTGAAAACAGCTGTTTTGGTTTGTTTTCGTTCGTGTAACTAGATCTAGTCCATTAAGGTTACAATTCATTATGTCAGGATTTATTTACTTGTTTATTTATTATTTATATGCTGCCTTGCTCCCCATAGGAGACTCAAGGCAGCTCATAGTGTCAAAAAGAAGAAGAATTAAAAACACAGCCAATTATACATTAAAGAACAATGAAACTAGAATAGTCATTAAAATACATTGAATAGTTCAAAACATTTGAAACTTGGTAAACTCAATCAAAAAATGTCATTCAGGGACTCTTGTCCTGGTTGTCAAAAGATGTGGGTTTTCGACTGTTGGCAGAAAGATAAAAGGGGAGGAAACAAACTTAAGTTGCTCCTAATATTTAGGTGATTGGGCTGGGACTCTAACCTTCAGAAAACAAGCTTTCCATGGGCCAGCCTTGCAAATATCTGAAGATGGCATTTCCTGTTGTTTCTCTGTCTTCTCCAGACCGAACATAACCCACTAGCTCAAAATTTCTCGTAGGGCTTGGTTGCCATAACCTTTCACCCTGCTGGTTGCTCTCCTCTTGACAACCTCTGAACATCCTTTGTATTGAGGATACAGGGATGCTCAGACTGGGATGCAGGATTCTAGGTGAGGTCTGTCCAAAACAGCAGTGGGCAGTCCTGTCTCTGGGAGCTGGACTTATACAAGCTTACTTTCCCAAGTTCTGATCCGGTAAGGGCTGTGGTCTTGTCCTTCGCATTGGACGCAAGAAGCCTTGAGCCAGCTCCAACTGGAAAACAGAGGAGAAGTGGATTTCCCCGGAACAATACAAGTGCTCCTGCTGATTTTATTGCTATAGAACTCTTCTCTCCATCTTCCCTTAAAGTTCCCAAGCCAAATCTGGACTCCTTTGTGTTCCTGCGCGTGAAGGAGAGACAGGAAAATATTCTAGTGGAGCCAGAGACGGATGAACAGAGGTAAGGAAGGATGTTGTGATGTTTTGCTGGGACCGAGGGTAACTAAACTGTTGGAATGGTACACCACAATATTTATTTTATTTATGTATTTATTATGTTTATATCCCGCCCATCTAGACAGCGTCTACTCTGGGCGGCTGACAATAAAATATCATAAAGACAGTCAAAACAACAAATTAAATCACTAATATTAGTATTCATTCAAGATGGGGAAAGTATAGAGCGAAATTTAAATAGAAAAATGAAAATCAAGTAAGACTTTTTACCAAGCTAGATGCATTATGAGATGGAGATGTGAAATTTATTACTTAATACCAAGAAAACAATGTTGGTCGCAGTTCAGAGATACATTTTGGTGAGCTAATCCGTATTGTAGCACAAAGTATTGGGTGGGTGGACTAGTCTTTAATGGGCAAGTCAGACCCATTAGCTTCACAAAAGACCTGTATCAGAGATACAGAAAGGTCTATTAATTGGTTTCTTGGTATAGTTGAATGGCAAGATTAATCAGGGTGCCCCTGAACATTAAAGATTATAGTATTTTTTATTGTCTTGCCCCTTTCAGCGAATATGTCATTGACCTGGACGAAGGCTCTCAGCATCTCATCCGGTACAAAACCGTCGCTCCTTTGGTGGCTTCAGGGGCGGTGCAGCTCATCTAAAGCCCGTGGAGTGTCTTGGAGGCATTTTGGGAAACCTTTGAGCAGAGGGACTTCTCTAGTGAACTCGGGACCTGCTTTGTGACTTGAGAAGTCAGCTTTCTTTGTCTGCTGGGCCACCAAGTGACTGGGTGACTCCCAGGGCAGCTAAAATGACGGCTTCCAGCCCAGGAGGTTGCAGCGGGTGGGAGGGATAAGAGTTGTGAATCCGCCCAGCTAAGAATGGAGAGTTTTGTCACAGTGAAAAGAATGATTTGCTCTTGACTCCTGTGTCTGGTAAATCAGAATATCTGCTGATCGTCTGCATCTCCAGCAGGCGGCACTGGACTGACTCTAAAGTTTAAACCCTGGCTGCTCATTTGAGAACTGAAGTGAAATCTATTCCCAAAGCTCCAGTATGGCCTTCCTGCCACCTGCTGCACTCCGGGTGTGGGAGCTGACAAGTCCCATCGTCCCCAGCCAGCACAGTTATTGGCCAGGTTGGGGGGAAACCAGCTGCATAGGATGCAACCCCTACCCACGAATGAGATACATGCACACACCCTGTCAAGAGGGTACAACACCTGGAGACCCCCAGCATTTTGCCCTTGAACTCCAGCTGTGGAGCTTTGTAACATCTGGATGGGCTCATTAACAGACTGGCAGGGTTTCTAGGGCTGTAGAAGGCACCCGCCACCTTATATGCGGCCAGAAAACATAGAAGGAATGTGCGGGCTGGTTAAAAGATGCTCGGAGAGGTCTCCGACCAGCTGTTCTTTGCGTATCAATGCCAGATGTTTTACTCTGTAGGATTGGCAGATGTTTGTATTAATCCCTACAGGACCCTGCCACAATGTGTGTGTTTTTAAAACCCGTAACACATTTTCCATTCCTAACCTTGTGTTTAGAGCGGCTGTACCTGTCATTATCCACCAGAGGAGCGGTGACCCCACCAGATCAGCTCTGTGAGGGGAGGAGGAGCAGGGGGTGGAGAAGAGGGGGAAGGAAGCGGATGGCCTCTGTGGGGTCAAAGCGGATGCCGATGAGCGAAGAAAGAGATTTGGGATTATAGTGGGTGGCTCCGTGAAAACTGGCCCAGCGTCCAGCAGATGGGGAAAACACAGAATCCATACCGGGGGGGGGGGGGTTGGGGTTCATGAGGAAAGGAAAAATGAAACCTCAAGAATCAGAAGGCTTATCAAACTTTAGAATACGGCTACACTTTAGAATGGTGGGATTCTTCGGTCCAGTTATATTCTGCCTTTCCACCAGTGCCTCAAGGGGGGAATAGATGACCCCTTTGTCCTTACAACACCCCTATGAGGTAGATCAGGGGCAGTTTTGGTGGCTAGACCTTGAACGGGATGTTGGAGGAGAAGATGGAATAATGGGGAGGGTGTGAGGGGGAAATGTGTGTTCTGGAGAAATCCAACATGTAGTTTTCTCTTCCGATCCTGTAGTCTTTTAGGGAAGCGGAATAGGAGAAGGTTCACAACAGGGAACAAGAAGGGTTTCTTCAACCAGAGCACAAAAACTGGAATTCACAGCCACTGGGTGTCGTGATGATCACCAACTTTGACAGCTTTGAAAGGAGATGGGATAAATTTATGGAAGCTTTTGGCCCTGAGCCAGCTGTTATTCCAGTTGAACGGAATGTGGTCCCTAAATGGTTTAGCCTGCTTTTAAAGACATCCCATAATAAGAATGATAATGATGGTGGTGATGGCCACGCCAGCTTCATGGGGACACTCCTAGGTTTTCCTCGGTATAAAAGCGCAGCTAGTGTGGTTTATTAATCCCTGTATCTGGTGGTGCAGCTTGTCGGCCACGTAACCCCCATCAGGCACAGACACACTTGATGATCTCAACTGGGTCCGCTCCTGGGAGGCCCAAGCAGCATTTGAACTCGAAACTCCTGGCTCCATAGCCAGGCATCCCCAACTGATGGATCTGTACCCGCTCACCAAAGATACCGTATTTCTCCATGTATAAGACTATACTTTTGTCTAAAATCTTTAGACTAAAAATTGGAGGTCGTCTTATACACGGAAGTAAGCTGAGGAGAGAACAAAAACAAGTGGAGGGGAAAGCAGGGATCAAAGCGATCCTGCAGCGCTTTGATATCTTGCTAAGCCCCACTTAAAGTTCTTAATTTTGGGTTAGAAAAGTGGGGGGGTGTTATACATGGGGGCATCTTATACACGGAAAAATATGGTATTCCAAATCACTTCGGTTGACTGAAAAAAGTCTTAAACATGATCTTCAATTAACTTTTAAAAAATCATTCCAGGCTACACGCATCTGCCCATATTCCCACCCAGACAGGCCCGCACAAATTGTGGCGTGAGCAGTTGGTACTCGCCTTCTTGTGAGCTTAGATGTTGGTATGTGCCGGAAGGTGTCTGGCCCGCGTCTGGGGGGGGGTGTCGGTCACCGGCAGGCCACAGTGTTAATGAGTGCAAGCAGATGCTTGGCTGGCCATTATTTTTAGACGCCATGCGTCTCCTGCGTTAAGATTAGGGCTGCTTCCATGGAAGATTAGCAGACAAGAGGCTCACTCTAATCGGCTGGGGGCATTGTCTTTGGCCGGCCGAGGTCTGCTGGAGGCCACCAAAGCCTCTGTTTGAGTCTATGGGTTTCAGAAAGGACAACCTGGGCCGTCAGCTGTTTCGCCTTCTACCTGAGGAAGCAAGATTACAATCCATTAAAACCCATCCCAAAATAAACCGTTAGGTCTTTAAGATACTGTACTGCAACATTGATTTACTTTTTGTGTCACTCCTGCTTTGTTTCTGTTACCGATTTTCCCCACATTATACCCTCCTACCATGTCCTGAAACCAACTTCCTATTAAGAGCCCTCCCTCTTTCCCCTTACGTTTCAAAAAAGGATGACAGGGCTAGTTTTTAAATATTATTTTGACTTGCACGGATGATCAAAGTGCTTTTCCCCCACGCCCCCCTTGCATGCCAAAATAATTCGGCTGACTTTGGGCACTATAAATACTAAAATGGGAGCAGCCAAATTTCTTCGGCCAGATGTGCCTCTTGAATGTCTTCATCTGCACATTTGGAAAGAGGGAGCCTTAGCCCCCCCGTCCCACATCTGGATCTGGTAATGCCACCCCTGGGCAAACCTTTGTTTCTGGCTGATGGCGTCCCATCTTCACAGCCCCTACCATCGGCTGACCCTAGAAATCAGTTGTGCTTTCGTGATTTCTTTTGATGTACAGCTTGTAAGACCCACATGGGTCTGAAAAGTTTTTTTCTCTCTCTCTCCACCTTTGTCCTCACAACAGCTTTGCAGAGGGAGATTTTTTTTTTAAACCAGTGGAAGTCAAGGATGAAATCAGCACACACACCCCCGGCCAAAAAGCCAGAGCAGAGAAATAATCCTGATCGGTCAGGGTCAAGACTTAACCCTTGACCATAGGACTGTTCTGTCTCTGAAGGAAACGGGATCTGCCCCAGGAAAACATTTCCCACAATAGAATTGTTAGTCTTCAAAGCATCACAGAATTCTTCAGAAAAATACACAAGCCACTGTCTCCACAAAATTCCGATAACTTGAGGGCAGGGATGGAAGACATGTCTCTACTCTCCTTCCCTCGCCATGTTTTTCAGTGGCACATGCAGAAGGCTCAAGTGAAGTTATTCAGCAATGAGACGAACCCCTTTGCACATGGTCAGAGGCAATGAGACGAGCACCCTCTGCACATGGTCAGAGGCAAGAGCTTGTCCTCCCGGGAGTTTGATCTGCGTGGAAACCCGACTTAAAATCTCATCAGCTGCCCACCTTCCTCCCGTAGGCTGACTCGCCCTGCTTTTCGGGGATGGGAAGGGCTTTGTCCTGCGAGCACGTGTGGATGCGAGGAGGCTCGGTAGGGGGCGTGGCCGGCGCGGGAAGGGGCGTGGCCTTGGGCTTGCGGCGTTCTTTCTCGCTTCATTCATTCATTCATTCATTCATTCACCTGGACGCCGTGAAGCGAGGAGTCGCTGCGGCGGGCGCGATGAGCTGCGGAGAGTGAGTGCGTTGCGTTGCTCGTGGGAATGGGACACCCGTGTCGGAAAGGAAAAGAAAGTAGCGGGGAGAATGGGAGGTGGCAAGAGAGATACAGTCGTGCCTGGGCACGTTATTACAGGTGGCTTTGCAGATGGCGATATTTTGGTAGCCTGGTTTCCCCCGGACCTCAGTTATGTTCCGTTGCGTCCACGGGTCTTGGGGATCGGGGTCAGGAAGCGAAGGGAAGGGTGACCCCAAAATGCAGGGCCAGAATTTATTCCAGATTCTCTGCACTTCTGAATGCAGCAGTTCCCTAAAGGATGATGATTGCAGGTAGGAGGTTGTAGGTTACGTATCTCCTTTGACAGTCGAAGTTAGGAGCCTAGTTCACTGATTGCTCATTGCAAAAAGTCTGATGCTCGGGGTGGGGGGTGGGGGTGGAAGATGGTCGGGTTGCCAACTTCTCTGCTGCTGATTGCAGCTGTGCCTTTTTCTCCTCACCCCCACCCCTCTTCCCAGCTAACAGCAATAATAGCAGCTAAATGCAGCTCCCAGAATCCCCCAACCTTCCCAACTGGAATTTCAGCCCTAATGGGTTACATTTCCAGTATCATCTCATAATGTAAATGTAGCCCAAAATAATCAAGAAAAGACTTGGAGTAACTAAGACAGCAGTTCCAACACTTTTTGGCATTGCTGCTTCGTCTGGATTTTGAGAAATGCCCCAATTTTCCCCATCGCTTGCTCTCTTTTTAGCGATAACAGCAACAACAGATCTTCAGTTTAAGAACAAAATCACAGCACAAAATTATTTAAAATTCAAAATAAGCACAGGTAGTAGTTTCTGAGACAGCTAAAGCTCTCATAATGATATATATCATGAGCTGCTAAAATGTATTTTTCACCATCTTTATGAAATTCTCACTATCTCATGCTCCTTTTAGTATTTCTTCCTCCCCTGCAGTACCCCTATCCAGTTTGTGAACCAGTTGCACATACCACATTGAGGAGTCCAGGGTTCGAATTCTAACTCTTTTCATGACCATGGGCCAGTAAAGTAGCTCTCTGTCAACCTAACCTGCCTCCTGGATAAAATGGATGAGGAAGGTCAACCAGATACTTATACAGTATTATTAATTAGTTACATGAATATCATGCCTTCTCTCTGCTGAGTCCATGGCGCTGTACGAAGTCTCCTTTTCTGCTATTTTGCCTTCAGAAGAACCCTGTAAGGTAGGTCAGGCTGAGTCTTAGATCACTGAGCCCAGTTAGGGCTAAACCTG